ATAGAAACGATATGTATCGCTTGCTTATGAGGGATGGATGTAATGGCAGTAGAAGCTTTATACCTGGAGCAGTGCTGAGTGACAGGCTCACAAGAGCTGGAGCAGCCGTTTGTGATGTGCCAGCAATGTGCTGGGGATGCCTGTAGCTCCTGCAGAGGTTGGGGAGCCCACTGTGACAGGGGGATTGTCCTCGAAGCCTCTGGGAGAGGAGAACTTGGAAGGAGCAGCCAGCCTAGGGGAGCAGAGGTCCTGAGCCAGCAGCTTGTGAGAAACCTCAAAGCTACAAGAAAGTAAAAGTTAGAACTGAAACTGCAGGACAAAATATTGTATTACTGGCAATGCATTAATTACTCAGTGTTGTTGCCGGTGGCTGATGACCCAGCAATCAAGAACAAGCCATAAGTAATAAATTACATTGAACATGAGGTGAACACAGGGTTTATTAACATCACATATGAAATACTAATTACGTTCTGTGCATGAGGCAAGGAACATAAATAGCAAATACTGAGGTAGCACACAGTGAGTGTCACAAGCTAGCTGTTGTGCTCAGGGCAGGCACAATGGGCAGTAGGTAGGGGAGACGTGAAACTCCTACCAGTGAAATTATCCGCTTTATAACAAAAAGAGAAAGGCAGACTGCTCTGAAATAAGCTCACTTTGTCCTGAACCAGTACAACACTCTCTTGTAGTGTTTATGTGTGCTTTTTCAACCATTAATATAGTCCTATACTGCATTAATTCAATTGAAAATGGGAACAGTTTTGCTTTCTGGTACATCAGTCGTCTTCTACCACTACTTTTACTTTAGCAGTCAGTTTGGGACCTCTTGCAGAGGAGGTTGTTGGTTCAGTAATACGGTTTGGGTAGTTAATATAGAGTGAAGAAGCCCTATAGCTTTTCATTCCAGATCAAACAGACAAGCATGCTGGTGCTGGATAACAAAATGCTGTAGAAGTGTTGCAGTGCAAGAGAAAAACATAGCTGTCAAGTACCTTACTGATATTTTACACTTTTCAGTCTCAGATGCTTAGTTAAAGGTCATTCATCCAAAATGAATTTGGATATTCTTTAACCTTTCTATGTCTCTCTTGCTCTCTTCCAATACAATTTGAAATCATCTGAAATACTTCCAGATGCATCTGTGAGGAATGGTGGTGTTCATGAACTGACAGGTGGTCTTTTACTGCTGAACTCAGTAATGAGCTGTTCGTCACTGCGGAAGATCTTTTTCATCTTTTGTTTGTGTGTTTGTTTTGTTGGCCAGGTCATCAATGCCAAGATAACATTCTATCTATCTATCTATCTATCTATCTATCTATCTATCTATCTATCTATCTATCTATTTATTGGAAAGTTTTATATTACTGATAATGGAGTGATCTGAACCCAGGGGGCTTGAAGGGTAGGTCATTAAGTACTCAGTATAAGAAAAAAATGTGTGTTTTCCAGTGTTCCCATTTTTACTGGAGGGAATTGTCTTGTTTTCTAAATCTTGACTTTAAAATCAAAAGACTTCTATAAGAAAAAAAAAATTTTGATTTCATCACAAAGAAAATAATTATATCTAAGCAGAGCATATTTTGAATCAGGAATAGTATATTTCCATTGATTTTTTTTTTTTTTGTGAGCAATAAAGTGTCTGAAAACAACATTTTTCTGTCATTGGACAACATGGATTTAAAAGTCAATAACAGAGCAGATTGCCTCAAATTGGAAAATACAGAAACAACTGCAGCACTGCTTTTTTGTTTCTGTTTGTCTGTTGGTTGGTATTAAACAGATCAGATGTACTTACTGGGCTATGATCTGTGTAAGTGAAAGTTGCCCAGAGGCAGTTTGCCCATGGTATTTACAGCAGTGCAAGGCAGCATTCATTTGTTATGGCCACTAAGGTGCTGTCATGGGGCTTACCAGAACCTAGCGAGGTTCATCTGCTCCCAGTCATTCCCTTGGAAAGGCCCATCTTTTCCCAAAAAGCACCACCTGATTTTGCTGTCTTCTGGGGTTCTAGCACTGTGAGCTCGCTGTCTTGTAACCTCCGTTCTCCCTCTCCCCACATGTACTTTAGGTGACTGGAACTGAGAGGTAGTTTGATCTGACTGACTTGTGCTGTAGAAGTAGCCGCATGCTCTGCCATGTCGTGCACGGTGCTGTACATATACTTCAGGTACACGTAAAACTGTGGCTGATTATTGACAATGGGTATGATTAAATATCATCCACTTTTACATGCATGGTGTGTTACCTTCCAAGGTAATTAATACAGATGCCATAAAACTCACTGCCTCTTGCCCTATCCCTTTTCTGGGCATTTTGAAGCAAGGCTCATGAAGTGAGGGTTGCATTGCCTACCTAAAATATAATTCATATGTCATGGGTTTGCTTTTTTTCTGGTTTGCTTTTTTTTCCCAGATATCACTGTAATAATTACCGTAACAGAGAGCTTTCTGTGGAGTTAATGTTCTTCTGGCTTAATGGCCCCTGGTTATTCTCAGGCCATCAACTTTTCTCAGCTGGTCATCAATCCCAAAGAACTGCCTTGTGCCTCCATTATTATTGCTTAAGTAGATGACATTTCTGGTGCAACCACTGCCTCCCAATGAGATGATATTACAGCCGATAGCTTTTTTTCCCCTTGCTTTCAATATTGTCAAAGCATTATAAACAGCTGGTATGAGAATGTCTTGGCTGTTGGCTGTGAATTCCTCTGACAATTTTTAGGTGCGAGTTTTGTAGACTTCAACTGAGAGAATCTGAGTGAGGTGACTGAAAATTACTTGCCCAGAGCAGCAGGCTCAGCCCCCATGCATCATTCAAGAAGTAGCTAGGCAATATCTGAATGTTTCAGTCTAAAGACTTTTTCCCAGAAGGAACAGTTTTAAACAAGATCTGGGACAAATGTTTTGGGGGGTGTTAATGTTTATCATCTAGCAGACGTTGACATCTCGCTCCCTCAGCCCCCTCCCCAAATTTCCACAGCTCCACTGATGGTTGTCCTTGTTTCCTAACAATTGATGAATTCTCTGTCAGACTTTTCAAAGAAAGGAGTAAGTTGTAGCTCAGTAGGCCAGAAACCAGCAGAGATTGTTTAGGTGAAAATGTCTTGCTATGTGGATATTCAAACCCATGTGAGTTAACACTGGTGCTGACTACATTTCCTTTAACCTCATTAGCACTTCATCTTGCTTTCCCAAGCATGATGGTGGAGCAGCTAGTTCACCTTAGAGCCTTTTCCTAGGCAATTCATCAAAGTGGCAGATGAAAGCTTAAAGGAAAATGCATGTAAATACTGCATTAGGAACCTTGGCTCACAAAGGCATGAACATTTCTACCCATATCATTAGCTCTGGATTGCAGTCCATATATGTGAAAGGAACTTTGTTGTTTGGGGAAAATGGAGATACAAAGCACACTGGTTGTATCATTATGCAAATTGTATAGTTTAGTTATTTTCTCTTTAATTAAAAAGCACTTCATCATTCATTAGCTATTCTCATAGAAAAAAGCGCTCAGACTGCAAGCACTTATTACTTGTAAAATTAAAACCAAGTTACTTAAGTAAAATACCCCCTTCAAATACTATGGGCCAAAGCATTTTCAAACTGGGGGGTGAGGTCGTCTCAAACCTAGGTTATGTCTTCTTTCCAGCTTTAGAGTTTTCAGCTGTGCTTCACTGCACACTGATTTAGTCATTTGATTCCTATATCCAAGTGGTTGATACTAAGTGTAATTATATCGCACCATAACTTCTCATTGCTAATAAACCCACCAGGTTTACACCTGGAGATGTGCTAGCCGCGTTTGTAATGGCATAAACAACAAGCTGCCATGGAGAGCCACAGGGTTTGATCTCGAGGTGCTGAGGCCCTCATTGTCAAAGATGGGTTTAGGTTGCTGTAGCGCTCTTCGGAGCCAATGAACACTGTCACCTCCTCACTATCCTACAGGATCAGGCCAGTGCCACAGTGCAGGAGACGACGGCTCTCAGCATGTTGTGTGTTCGATTTGGAGCCTCTGGAATTAAACAAGCCGGTTACTCATCAGGAAGGTATTGGAATGCCATCCTTTATGGTTGTTACGGATACTCTCAAATAAACAACCGACCTCCAAAAATAAGAAAAAATTATTATTAACACAGATAACTAGGCTCTCCGTAAATTACAGGTTCGAATGTCTGTGAGAGGAGAACAGAACAGCTTTCTAGGGTTTAATGCCAACCCAGAACACATAAGAAAGCCCTGCTCCCTAGGGTTTAACGACAACCCCAAGCATTTTACAAAGCCTTGCTACCTAGGGTTTAATGACAACCCAAAACGCTTTATCGCTCACCTGACAAGTGAGGGTTCTCAACCTGGAGGACCTGCTCAGGGCAGTGTCCCGACCCAAGGCACCTCAAGGAGTTTCCTTGGGCAGTGTCCTGACCCAAAGGGCGAGTCCTCGACTGAAGCATGCTGCTCCAGGGGACGAGCTTCAAGTAGCCCCCCCACCCCCAGGGACTCCATTTATACCCAGGCCCAATCTGACTTGTAGGCAATAGTGGCTCCCATTGGCCAAAAGCCCCAGTTGCCACGAGGCCCTGAGAACAAAGGCAGCCCAAAGCTGCTACACTTCAGCAGCCAAGAAGCTCTGCTCTCAGTGGGCGGATGCACCTGACACAATGGTTAGCGATGAAAATAAAATTCTGATGGACATCCTTAGGGAAGAAGATCAGTAGATCAAAATGATCATGAACCAAAATGGCCTTCCAAGGAACCTCAGACGACTGAGCAATCACAATTCAGACTGTTTGCCTTTTTTTTTTTTTTTTTTTTTCCCCAAAGAATGGGTACGATACTGTGTATGTTCTGTAATTGATGTTACCGGTCATAAATGCTGCAAGATACTGTTCATGGAGGGCCACCAAGGCACACCTTCAAACAGTCTTTATCTCCCAGTTTATTGTATTCTTGTTAAAAAGCAGCACTGTGGGGATACTGTTAACCCTTTGCCCCTTTTTAGTTCTCATGCTGAGCAGCAGATACACTTACATACTCCTCTTATTGATACCTATATTGGTGGCATACTTCAGTAATATGATTTATCATTCATTTTCATTTTCATGAAAGCTTGTTTTACTCTCCTGATTTCATTAGGTCAGCCACTCACTGAACAGGCACCTCCTGTTCCATTTTACTGTGTAACTTTTAAACATGACCTGATAAGCTAGGAAAAGTTCAGTGCACTAACTCACTGTCGTGTAAAATACACAAAGACATTAATGACCTGCTCTGACTGTTGAACCACAAAGGAGGTACGAGAGCCCTGCAGTGGTTATGGCACCAACCTGGAAATAGCATGGAAGGATTGGACCAAGGTATAATTCTCTTCCCTTAGCAAACTGTCCTGACCCCAAGGTTGAAAAGCTATTCACACCTGTGCTTATGAGGACTTACAATTGATTATTTCCGGGAAAAATGAAAAATACTCCAATTACAGCTCATTTATGGTAAGTGGAAGAAGTACAATCCTGAACAGCTGGGAACAGTATAGAAGCTGTTGTGATTATTGTATATGAAGCAGCCATGGAAAGGAGGATTTCAACAGTGGTCTTCTTAACTCCACAGAGGACCTTTAAGGGCTACACCACATTTTCCCCATCTACAAAAAGTACAGGTAATGTGTCCCCAGTTATTTGGTAAGCCTACTGGGAGAGATTTATGTAAAGTCCTCTGAGATTTTTGCTGTAAAATAGGCCATGCACATGTAATACAGTTATCATGTAATGAATGGGAAGATGTCTAAAGCTAATTTTGAAGTATGTGTGTCTTTGCAGCCTTTAAAAATGCACTGCAAGAGTTGTGCGTTGGTAACCAGCTCTGGACACCTTCTGGGAAGTAAACAAGGTGACAGAATCGACGAGACAGAGTGCGTAATACGAATGAATGATGCACCTACTCGAGGTTATGGAAAAGATGTTGGAAACAAAACGAGCCTTCGAGTCATTGCACACTCCAGTATTCAGAGGATTCTGCGAAATCGCAATGAACTCTTAAATATGAGCCACGGTGCTGTGTTTATCTTCTGGGGTCCCAGCAGCTACATGAGGAGAGATGGTAAAGGCTTGGTATATAATAACCTGCAGCTGATGAATCAGATACTGCCTCAGTTAAAAGCATATATGATTTCTCGCCACAAGATGCTTCAATTTGATGACCTTTTTAAACGGGAAACTGGGAAAGACAGGTGAGAACTTATGTGGCTACATTTGGGGGATGTCATACAGTAGTAAAATAATGTAGTTTATATATACCAATTTAAGATCTGCTCAGAGAGACCATCATACCCATTAAATCCTCTGCTTCATGAGTTCTAATATGGTATGACATGCCAAATAACATCACTTGTAACATAAGTAAAAAATATGCATCAAAATAATTTGTATGGAATATTGCCTCATCAACTTAGAATACCAGAATCTGGATGTACTGTTTATACAGCCAAGGAGGCAGGAGCTGTTTAAATCTCACTTTGGGTAATATACCTGAAAGTTTTTTTACTGATTCTGAAAAATCAGAATGGATAGATTATGTTTTCTTATAGAGGAAATGCTACCATTCAGTGAATTATAATAGCTGTTTATTGAATTTAAGCATTCTTGGAACATTGCAGCTGTAAAGCTTCTTGTAAAACAAATAAACATTAGTCATACATTAGGTGCTTCAGAACAGTTCATCTTACATTTCCAACTGGGAAAAGGAAAGTTATTATGATAGTTACATCTTTATGAGACTGTTTATAACTTGCAGGCTGATCTTCAAATCAAATTTTTAGTAAGTGACCCACTGCAGGACTTGAGCATTTTCACACATAATGTTTGAAAATTGGCATTTAAAACAAAGACTTCCTAGCAAGAAATACATTTATTTTTAATGAACTCCTATTTTTTACTTATTAAATATGCTGCTGTAAAAATGGAACAGGGCCCCCACTTAGGTACAAATAAAGAGGTTGGTTTATTGTGCAGTAACTCATGGTGAGATTTTCTAGCTTCACAAATACTGTACATACACACCAAAGCTTGGAGCTGGGCTTGATCCTCTTGAGGATGGGGAGGACTCCAGAGTATAGACTTTGTTTTCTGGGCTGCACAACAAAGGCAGAACCAGTGTTATAAAGGAAACTCTTATATCCTCTTAGCTGATGGTGACTGTATCTGCTTGGCATTTGCAGCCTTTGTCACAGCCCACATGGTTTGCTTGCAGAGCTCTGTTCAGTTATAGTGGATCAAACTACACATCTAAATTCTTGACTGACTCACAGCAGCTGACTAAAGCACACAGCAACTCAGTTTATTACTGTTAAAGGTCCTTTTCTCTTCATCCTCAAACTGGTGCTTGTGATTCTCTGCCAGAGACTCTGCCTCTGCCAGAACAAGAAGGAAGGAAAACAAGGGGAGATATCCTGCCAGTTCTGATGCGTTATGGTCTTTTCCAGGTTTTTTCACCCAGAGTAGAGTGAAATAAGCACTTGAACCCTTCAGGAAAAGGGAAAAGGATCCTCCATATGTCCAGTATTTACAAAGTCATGAAAGTTAACAAAGCTGTAGTTGGACTGTAACTTGGGCTACCCTCAGCCCTGAGGATCAGACCCAGTTGAAGAGGGATGCACACTGCCACCTCGCTGCCTGGATTACTCTTTCAGTGTCAGACCACATGCAGTCCCCAGTTTTGAGGAACAGTTCATCTCCTCTGCTTCAGTCTGGCCAGTTCTGCCATGGAGAGCCAGGGTCCCGTTCCTTTCCTGACACTTGCTGTGCAGTTTCAGGCAAGCTGCTCTTTCTGGTTCCACATCACCCATCTGGAGCAAGAGGCCTATAAGCTGTGCATGTGATGAAAGCATTTCTTTTTCTGCACAGGCACCAGGGTCAGTCTTGGCTCCTGAAACATTCTCAAGGCATTTGAGACATTAATGACATTATAACAAGTTTATAGTGGACTCGGTTATGGGCACCCTGTGCTCCCAGTGTGAATCAAGGGCACTTGGATGCTAGCAAAATTCAGCCTCATGAACAGGTCCTGTTGCTTTTAAGAAATTGCAGGCTCTGCCGTGTACGAACCGCTGCTTTAGAGGGCACATACCGCATACGTGAAGGACTAAGAAGATTAAAACAGGAGATGAAAATAAATGAATAGTCAGCACGGAAAAAGAGAGGGAAGATGAAAAGGAACACAGGTAGGAAGGAATTTGTAAGGGAAGGAAATTTATGTAGCTGTGGGGGCAGGAGCAGAACATTGTTCAGCCCAGAATGTTGCAGTTCCCTGGGAGGTTTCTGCTGAGCTCTTGACATTAGTGCCTGCAAAAAACAAAGGAGTGAGAGAGAAGGCTGATTGCAAAGTTGCAATAATCAAACCATTCATTTCTGTCTTGAAAATGATGAGAAAAAATGTAATTGGGTGTATTGTGCTTTTCAAAAAAACCCCTGATCTTGAAATGAAGGGAAACCTTCAGAAAACATTGCCAGTTAAATAGTATAGTGAATGACAAAGGCTGCAGAGCAATATACTTGGTATTATAAAGTAACTGCACTTGAAAATAACTTCATAATTGAATAAGGGTACATTAAGAAAATATGATTCAGAACCAATATTATAGTAATTAGATAAAGGAAGCATAAATGAAGTAACTGCAGGAAGAGTATTTCCATAGAGATTATAAATGAGATTTTGTTGGAGCAGAAAGGCCTCTAATTGTAATTTAGTGTGCACTACAGAATTATCAGCACAGTGTGTTAGTTCATCATATAAAAGAATATCTGATAATTTGCCCTAATAAGCACATGACAGTTCTTCATATTCTTTCATTAAAGCTGATTAGGTATAAAACCAGTATTCTTTTGTGGGACTCTTGTTCAGATCTTTTATGAAAAGGCAAGACACTGTAACTCTGTTTCTGTATGGCTGTCCCATAAACATGGTATTTCAAGATGCCAAAGTGATACTTGAGTAAGTTTCAAAATCTTCATTTAATTGTTTAGCTTTTAAGCTAGTTTATTTAAATTCAGTTTTCTCCTATTTCTTGAAAACACTAATTTACAGCATAAGTGTGAGTAAGCAAAAAGAAAACTAACTCAGCAGACAGCCTAGCTAGGTTGCCTGACCCGTGCAAAGCCCAGACACTTTGGTCATGGGTTAGATATAAGTGCTCTGTCATTTGGAATGTAATGTCTTAAGCACCTAGAACAGTGGCCTTGTGCAAGCTCCAGAGTGCTTTTAGCCTGAGCATGTTCCTGAATTACCTAGTGATTCCTAGGCTCAGAAACTCTCGAGTGGCAGGAAAGCAAATATTTCAGGCTTTTTCTTATCTTTCCCTTTCCTAATAATTTTGAGCCAAAAGTTGTTTCCTGTTTTGTATTGTTGCAGTGTCTGAAGGCCTCTGCTCAGCTTATGACCCAGCTATGACATTGTGAAAAATTGCACCCCTCCAAGCTTAAGTGCAAATTCAGAAAATAAATAAGGCCCCTTAATTGGAACTAATGAGATGCTTAAATCATGTTATTCTCCAAATGCTAGCTTAGCCTGAAAGTCTATGTTAGGAGCAGTGAAAAACTTACGTTTCAGGAGTTCATACATTACCAGGTGACCTACAAAGGACAGGACAAATTACCTGGGTTCCCCAGCATCCTTCAGGTATTTTTGGTTAAAGAATTCCCTTACGTTTAGAAATGCCTTTTAACCAGCCAGCACCGATAACCACCTCTTTTCCTTGGCAATAGTCTAATTCACTGAGGAAACGGGAAACCTTGGTGCAAGGCATTCCTCAATCTGATAGTGCTCAAAACATCTCCCTCCTGCTGCCCTGTAGGTGACCTACTTGGAACCGGCTTGTTCAGCATTAGCTTGGGAAGCTGCATGGTGGGCTCCTGCCTGCTGAATTGCGTATTAGTAATTGCTGGCACCTGCAGTGGCTGTTGTGACTTCAGGTCCCTGATCCAGGACTGTTGTGCACTCCACTATCACTGGGTAAACTCTAAAAGATGGCCTTGGAACTGGGGTCAGGACCTGGGGTTCCCAGGTGACTGCTCTGACCAGAGCCTCATGTTCTCAGCTGTGCTTTTGGGGGTGGGGTGGGGTGGACTGTGGGGTGTCAGAATGTTGCAGGTGTCAGACAGAGGTGTTGTGGAAGGGGGTTAATGTAGTTTCCATATTAGTACAATCTGACACAGTGCAGAAGCCATCCAGTAGCCTGCACTTGCTCTCACGGTGCCTCAGCTTTAGTAGGAGACAAAAGGAGAGCCAGTCACTGTGACAGGCTGTCATCAGGAATCTGAGGCCTGTTTGGGTCACAGATGACACAAGCTTGAACTTCTTCCTGTGGGACGTTCCTAGCTGAGTGCAGAGCCATTAGAGAGATCTGCTGTCTCCTTCTTTAACAGTATTTGAAAGATCTTTGAGTGAACTTGTTTTCTCTGGAGCAAATAACCTAACTTCATGTGACTCAGTTTCTGACTTGACTTGATCCTGTAGGGCTCTCCCTAAATATGCTTTTATGACACCTTTAAGACATGCTCCTGCTTTCACTGACCCTCCCGTTCCAAGACTGCCAGCATAGGGACCGTGCAGGGACTTAACACAGGACTGGGACTTCCAGTGCATGTGCCGGGCAACCAGTAACTTTGTAGTACCCAGCTCTCACACACTAAACAGCCATGACAAGCAAATGCTAGGACTGGAAACATTAATGTTGCCATTTTGCAGATCAGAATCTGTGATACAGCAAAATTTAAGCACAGCTTGCAAATCTCTTACATCTGTGAGCAGTTACATGGAGATATCTCCCATTTGGCATAAATAATGCTACTGTCAGTTGTGCTGCTTCTAAGGATTTCTCCCAGCCTGTAGAGGTGGCCGGAAAGGAGCTGCCTTAGAGGGCTCCCTTGCAACACTGTCATTCATATTCAGAGGTCCCACCAGGCAGGGATGGGACTCGGGGCAGACAGAGGGGTAGCACTTAGGATGAAGGTTTCCCAGGCTGGCTAAGGGACAGGCATAGCTGCAGCTAATGAAGAGTTTCCTACCAGCAGTCACCGTGACTGTCTGGGAGCTTCTGGAAACCAAATCATGGATGGGGTGGGAGGAAGAATTATTAGACTGATCACTTGAGGCCAGATCTCACTCCAGCTGACAGGCTCCTCTGTATGCTGTGGGAGGCAGCATTTTAAGCAGCCCTCTTCTCCCCTGTGATGCATCTTCCTGGGCACCTAGTGGGTAAGCTCCATTAGGTGATTATAGATGTGTATAGATTACTAGCAGAAGAATATAAACATAGGACATAAAATTTCAGTCATTTAAAGTAAACTTACCAAAAGGTCAGCTAAATATTAACACTGCTGTGCCCAAAATTAATTACAGCAAGGGCAGTTTCTGCATGGATTAGTCCACTGACAGAAGACACTAGCAAAATCATTGAAAGGTGAGCAAGCAAAGTAGTCTTGGTTGCCCAATTTTCATAACCTTTCACAAGAATGAAAAAAAAAAGACCAGAAAATGCTTCAGATATCTCAAGAATTATTTGTCAGCCTAGAAACTTAATTATGTTTTTGCTTTCAGGAAGATATCCAACACTTGGCTTAGCACGGGCTGGTTCACAATGACTATCGCATTAGAGCTCTGTGACAGGATAAATGTTTATGGCATGGTGCCACCGGATTTCTGCAGGTAGGATTTATTTTGGAACCATTATTAGCCAACAAGGTTGAACGTTACAGATAAATATCTGAATCTTTTAATTTATTTTTTTTTCTCTGCAACATGTCTTCAGTTGTCTTAAAGCAATTAATTAACATGTCCCCAGATCTGAAAACAACAAACAGCATTTGATTATGTTATATAAAATATTTAAAAATTTTGTTTGTAGTGTGGGAGAATTAATCTATCTTGTTGGTTTCTTTTAGTCTCTGAATATTTATCAGCTAAAAGTATTGCAATAATTGGCATGAAATTAATCTAAAAAAAGGAGTATTGGGAAACATTACTTTTAATTTGTTTTTAAAGTTCCCCCCAATTAATAGAGGAACGGCGTTCTCACAGTGACTAGTTTCTAGATTGAACTTTCTATGCAACTCAAATTAAGATTGTTGTATCTCTGTCACACGAATCCCCATCTTCCAGTAAACTATCTTTCTGAATAATCCCCACCAAAAACAACCCCAGAATTTGGACCCACAGAAGATACAGTCATTTTGGTCATGTTTGTGGGCCACAAGTGGTAGAAGCAGCACACAAATTCTGTCAGTGGAAGGTATGTGACCCCTTCATGCTGTTCAGAAAGTAACAGCTTTTTTTTGTGGCTGCATTGTGTCTCCAGCTATATTTGGGACTCAGACCCGAGGTGCTGGTTAAGGTTTCCCGCTGTGAATCAGTGATAAACAGTCTTCAGGACTTCTGGTACTGGACCAAAATCAGGTCAGCCACATGGTGCAAAGCACCGATCCAGTACAAATTCATAACAACTTGGTCTACACCAGCAATCCTTACACTGACCTAAGTATCACCTGTCCATCCATTAGTAGGCCTCACGCTCTGGCCTTTTAGAAAAATGTGGTTCTGTGCCCACACCCAGCCCTGATCCCATTTGCACCGTGAGGTGACCCAGCAGTGCACAGAGCCGAGTACTGGCAGTCTGGAACAAGGGCATCAGTGTAACGTTTCATCTCCTGCACATGAATCCCTTTCACTAAGAAGCACTTGCTTGATTTTTTTGGTTGCAAATGTAATGATTTCACTGAAGTCTGGTTCATTGACTAATTCAAGATGCCTTTCAGGGGCAAGGGGACCAAGGCTGCAGTGACAGGTTAGCTCATCTATCAAAGAACAGGACTGCTTTGACTTTCTTCTCAGCACTGAAAAGGATCATTGAGGAATATGCATTTGTAGAAATCCCTGAAGAAATTACAGTATAAAATGTCAACACTAAATTCCACTTTGTGAGAATTTCTACAAATTATAACAAAACACTGATGATAAACGCTGTGATGTACTGCCAGATTTCATCATGAATTCTCCAAGGAAAGTAACAAACTAGATCAGATATTCCAGACAACATAAATACCTTCCACAGCACAGCATTTCAGTTCACCTGTCATTTCAGTTGGCCAAAGCACACTTCTTCGGTTTCTGTAAGTGGCTGGTCTGTCTTACTCCAGGCATGGCTGTATTCCAGTGGCACACAGAAGTAACTCTTAAATAAACCAATGATCTAAAAATGCAGAAGACAGGAATTCACTGCAAAGCAGTGCTCAATCCTAACTTCTCAGGTGAATTCAGATCAGTTTAGATACATACACTTTAAAAAAACCCCAAATTCTTAAAAAGAGAGGCTAAAATTGTCACTGAGACCATATGAAAGGCTTTCACAGAATTGATACACTGAAATCAGATGGATATATTAAATTACAACACAGCAAAGGCTGTAACCATTGACAGATGTAATAATGCTTACAGCCTGCATAAAAAAAATCTTAACAAAGGTACACTCACCTGGTTGTAAAAAGGGAAAAGGTCAAAAGAATATAAAATGTTCTTACTTCAGGTTTATCCCCCAGATGTTGAAGGGGAAAACTGTAGTTGCCATGACTGGAAGACACTATCCACGAAGGGCTGTGAAAGGAACCTTCCCATAAATACCATTAACCTTCTTAGATTGCTCTTCAGCCACTCATTATGAAGTTAAACAGTGCTTCCTTTCAAAGAAATAAGACAACAAAATAGCAGAAAGAAGGAAATATTCTGTAATTTTAAGCCATATTTCCTGGTTTTCAGTCAGACAAAATACAAATTACTATTAAAAAAAAAACCAACCAACCAACCCAATCAACAAAATATCCCACCTTGTCTAACGTATGCAAGATGATATACTTTAGTTGCTATGCAACTAAAAAAAAATCATTAAGATTAAAAAAAAAAACCAAACCACCAACCAAAACTCCTATTTCTATTCAGAGTTAGTATCACCAAATTTACAACTTCAGCAGATACTCATTACTTTTTAAGTATTAATTTGTGGAGTAAGTAATGAGTGTGGGTGATCAGAGTCATGGAACTAAATTAGTATCACATCTGTAACGTGAAGGACATCTCAAAGGTATTGTGAATATCATACTGTTGATTCTGCTACAGATTATTAGCCTAAGATCATTAACCAAATTGCTTCCCACCCGTGCAGGGAAAATAGTCTATTGAAGGAAGGAGTCTGGAGTACAGACTAAAAGATTTGTCAGTGTTAATTGCAACAACGTGTTTTAGTTTCATTTCTATTTACTTTCACTGGACATTGATTTTTATGGCTGAACTGGAATTGGTGACCTGATTATTACAAATTTTTAGTACTTCACAGCAAAACTATATGTAATAACGAATCCCTTTCCTACATATTTATGCTCTAGTAAGGGTTAATGGCTTTTATTCTGCTCTCATACTGTTAAATACATCTGACTTGCACATTCTAGAAGATGAAAGCTTGTGCTGCCATGCACATTGCAAAGATTTTGGAGAGCATGTGCACCTCTCTCTTTCACCACAAGAAAGACAAGCCATCTTGTATTTTTTTCCAGTGCCCTGGGATCCACTCCTAGCCTTTGTGGAGCGAACTAGCAGCCCAGCTGGGAAGCCTTTCCCTCTCTGAGCTCCCTTTGGCAGCCTCCTGAACTGGGACATGAGGGATTTTCCTCCTGCCTCTCTAGCCCAGCAGCCAGACTGTGGTGCACAGGCGGATAGCACCACAGTTCCTGAAGGCACTGCAGTGCTGCTGCTCTTCTTGGTGGCTGCTCAGCAGCATCGGTGGGAAGGACACAGAGAAGCCTGCATGCAGTCTGCAGTAACTCCAGTCCCTGTCCACTGCAGTATCAGCAGCAGTGAGAGGCTGGTTCCTTGCAGGTATCTCTGGGTACTCAAGCGCACAAAGAAAACTAATGGTGTTAGTGAGAAGAGCCCTCTTTAAGCCCCCTTCTCTTCACGGGCCTTCTGGAACTCAGAGAAACTTAAAGCTTCATTTTAAGCCTTATTTTAACTCATATGAATAATTTTTTCTCCAATTACGGAGCCAGATAATTTTCCTATAAGAATCCTCATTTGACTGCCAGGCCATTTCCCATCTGTGATAATTTGCCTGAAAATTGGCACTTTAAATCCTTTAATTTATTCCTTTGGGTATAGCTTTTAAATCTAGTGTTTTCTTACCTCCCTCTCTCCACTTTTCAGTTGCTTTAAATCAAGTGCAAAGAAGCAGTTGTTGCTAGCTACATTTCCTGGGTCTTAATGGAAGAAGAGGTGCTTACAGGACTGTAAGCCATATGGGGGATAGTTATGCCCTTTGGTCCATGTGCCTGAATATCACCTCGTTACTTCATTAATGGTTTGGAAAACAGGGCTAGTATAGAGGTCAAGGAAATGGGATCCAGGGAATAGAAGGCAAAAAATTACCCAGAAATCTTCATAGTCCTGGCACAGAAGCTTGCCCATCACTCAACATATTAATGACACTTCAAAATATGAATTATTTTACAAAGCATGTGAGTACATACACTTTTAGTGGGTTGATTTATAATGGCTCTTCATTTGTAAAGGAAGAGGTTGACCAGAATGTGAGATGGGATGGCCTTGTTTTTCTGCCTTGTTTCTTTTGAGGCAAACACTGCTGTATTTTCAGCTTTCACTGTGGGTGGATACCATCTGTAGGAAAATGTGCACTGAAGTGGCAAACAGTAGATGACTGACATTGGGTACAGGCACTTACACAGTTGCTGTGCTGGCAGGCTATTAGGCAGGAAGTATAGTGTATTTTACAGAGGAACTTTCCTAGATTCCTCCCAGCTGTGATATTAATATGCATGCAAAGTCTGACAAAATACTGATTAATGTCCAGTATCAGTCAGTGATAAAACAGCATCTGTTTTAATGTTAATAAATGAGGTGGCAAGCAATTTCCGTATAGAAATTACTCATGCATTTCATTTGCTGGTGACACAAGCTAATTGCAGAGTTAGAAGATAACACAGTACAGTTAATTTGGGTTATGGTGTAGTTACTTAAGCCAGAGTTCAAATCCAGACCTTACTAGCATGCATGCAATCTAAGGGAATCCAGAACTCCTATGAAAGGTAAAGACTTCAGACAAAATGTCCTAGGGTATCCAGCTGCCTTTGAGAGTTACTGAATCTGAAACAGAAAATTTGGAACTTAGCCTCAAAGCCTTAGTCAGCTGCAGAGTAGTCTTGGAGAGGTCTAAAGCCACCAGCATTTTCATTTTTGCATTGCATTCATCTCCAGTTGAGCCAGCAGACCTCCGTACAAGCCGTAACAGCACCCATCAGGGGATGCCTGAACCCAGCAGGGTGCCCAGACCATGCTCCTCTGCCTCTCTTGCCTGCCAGGCCCCGTGCAGCTGCTGTTCCTGGACTGTTTCTGACAGGACACTGCACAAAATACAGTGCCCTGTTAGAGCCTAGCACTAAGGACATCCACTTAAGATACTCTTCATGTTAGCTTCAGAGCCTCTGATGGTGTGGAATCCCTGTCTTCAAAAGGGAAATCCATTACTAAAATACCCACTGGTAGAATACTGATGACATAAGTGATAAAGTACTTACTGGGAGGTACAGGCTTCAAAACATGGCTTCAAAGAGGCAACAGAAGTGTATAACCCTAGGTAAATACTAAGTTATCAGAGTGAGGGAGAAGAAAGAGGACCACTATCAAGCCTTCTCTTCTTCCTCTCTGCACCTGATCCACCTGTATACTTTGGGGGTTTTGTGGAGAAAGAAAAATGACCAGCGTTTCTATAGATCTCCATGAGAAATCTGATTACGGTTATCACCGTCATCCATTGCTAACTTCAGTGTGTAGCGAAGGAACAGTGAAAAGACATACAGCCTTAATTTCCTGCTTTTTGCTCTTCCAGGTCATCTTCTACAAACCCAACTCAGGCCTTCATAAAAAATGGGGTGGGGCAGCAGAGGGAGGATCCCAGCCAAATGTACCCAGAGGTATCAGAGCCAGCAGCCCTGCAGGCTCACTTTGCAATACCAGGCCCTCAGCAGTTAGTTGACTGCACTTGTTCAAAGTCTGTTGGAGATACGATTTCAACTTTACTAATCCTAACTTTAAAGCAGTAAATTTACATCAAGTAATATAGGTTTACCCTCAAGAACACAAGAGTAAAATCCAGCTTCAGTGCAGAAAGGAAGAGCAGTCTTAATGAGAGGCAGAGGCCTATTGGTTCAGTAGTTCTTGAGAAAAAATGAATCACATTAAAAGGTATCCCATCAGATTTACAGTAACCATACAAATGATTCATTTAAAAGATTATGAGGTCCAATGTATCAAAAAATTATGTGAAAAATTAATTGAAGATTAAGATCTAATAGTTGTAGCTAAACACACACCACCACCACCCACACCCACCCCCTCCGAACATTAAATTTCTATATGAAGGCTATTTTTTACTTTAAAAATGTTTTCTGTAGGTGAGGAAGGATTTTTTTTTACTCTTACGTATTGCAGTGAGAATATATACAGTAAATTTAGAAACCATCTAATGTTAGAAATGTAGTTTTATTGTTATTTTGGTCTTGTAAGATTGATCATCATGTTATGTTACCAGGAAGCTAGATTGATTGAATTGAAGCGTTAACCTAAGGTATAAATGGAAGACATCAGCGATGTCATACATTACCACTGCACAGACAATATGGATTATGGTAAAATAAGAAAAATTAAGAGAATTGCACAGGTGACAGAATTACACAGTAAAAATAATGACCAGGACAGAATACTGACAGATTGTGGATGCATTCAGTTGAAAGTGAGCTTAAATATTAGCTCTTCAAAATGAAAATAATCAACTCTATATTAGAACTGACAGCCCGGAATCTGCATTAGATTTCTTGCTCTGTACTAAGGGCCTGTTCAACTCAGGCTTTAACATAGAACAGTCCCAAGGCTTGGCTAAATGGTAGTATTTGCATTAACTTTTCTGCCACTACAAAATAGTTTGTTGGCTGCAACTGTGGAGAGGGGTAGAATTGTGTTATTCTGTCTGGGACAGCTGTCTCTCTTTGAATTTATGACAGAGATGCTGTATGAGTTCTTGTCAGCCCAAAATGCCTGTGCCCAAAGTAAAAATGTATTTGCTACAGTTTAACATAGAAAATAAAACAAAATGAGAATTAATCACTTTGGCTTATTATAATAGATAAGTGCTTTTTATGAATGTAACAGTAAAGACACTGAGGTTAGAATTGCTAAAACAAACTTCATCCAAAGTATCTAATTGGCCTTTGGCATATCCTGTGAGTCCCCACATGAGTACTCACCTCCTGCTGGTTAATGCTGATGAGCTCACAAGGACACAAGACACTTATGGGTGAATAGTTTTAATTTTTAGCTTAGACACATGAAAGCTGCCATTGTAACATGAAAAAGAACTAACTTCTACATCTGATGTTTGATTATAAACCCAGCAACAGCAGTCTGTGTATCACTGACCTGGCATGCAGATACACCCATTGAAGTTGTGCACTCAACCTCGTGCACCATGCTGGGAACGTTCCTCTGAGCTGATGTGACACAGATAACCACCTCCCCTCTATCTTCCCCTTCCCTTTCTTCCCCCAGTTCAGTAAATACCTCTGCAAGGCTTTTTACAAATCACAATCTAGATATAATCTCTTAAGCAGTTTGCTTCAAATTTCAGAGTAGTAACATAGCCCTGCAGCACTCTTGCTTGTTTTTGAGCTACTGCTGTCCTTTATTTAACTAGGAGGAGGGGATTAAAGAAGAGTAATAGAAAGCACAAAGAAAACACCTTTTTCCCATTCTGATGTATTAAATATGCAAGAAAAATACAGCTACCTAGAAATTTGGTTTAACTGGGAGAAAAGGTGGATTTGAGCCCATCCGTTTATTAAAGATAGCATCAATTCAATCAGTAAAAAAGAACATCCTGGGCTTCCATCTATTTTCTTTCTTCCACAGGGATCCTAATCATCTTTCAGTACCTTATCATTATTATGAACCTTTGGGACCTGATGAATGCACAATGTACATTTCACACGAGCGGGGACGAAAGGGCAGTCATCATCGTTTCATCACAGAGAAACGAGTGTTTGAGAACTGGGCACGGACATTCAATATTCACTTTTTCCAACCAGACTGGAAACCAGAACCACTCGCTGTAAATCACCCCGAGATTAAACCAGTGGTCTGAGGGATGAGTGCACAAGGCCACAACCACAGCCACCTACTGTGTCAGCCTTGGGGGTGTTGGACCTTCTGGGACAGCAAGGCAACCTAGAGGAGAAGGGTAACAGGATTTGCAGCCGATAACTGCAACAGCAGTCAGGAAGTTACGAGATGAAGGAGCAGAGCGTATCAAGAGTACTTTCTATCGAACTGTGTATTAATCCAGTATATAGCCTCTTCTGGCCATCTGACTTCCTGTGTGTGTATGTGATTTGTGAAAAAAAAACGGAGTATCATTAACGGATTGTTAATTCATTATGGTTTTTTAAATTACAATGCCACTGAATTTTCATAGTGAAAACTTAAGTATTTATTTAATGGAGGTTTTTATGAAACCTAGGCCAGTATTTTTCTAATTCACTGTTATGTGGTTGTTTATCTTTCATAATCTTTCAAATCCAAAATTACTATTGCTGATGGTTTGAAAGGCCTAGCTTTTTATTTATAAAATTTGTTTTAAAAGTATGATTCTATATAGCATGTAATGAATATTTGATCTGGAAATATTGCATTCCTTTTAAAAATTTTGGGCTCTGTTCCAGCCTAAAGCCTTTAACAGCAAGAATGGTCCCATGTGCAGATCTAGCTAACTTTACATTCTGACATCTCATGTTAATATGAAAACGGTGGTGAAAATTCTGTTTGATATTAATGTGCATTTGCTGCTGTGCTATCAAGCTGCTGGTTTTTTAATTAGGGGTGGGAGGAAGGAGGGCAAAGTTAATCCAAAAAAAATCACTGGCTATAGCAGCATGCTTTTCAGTGAAGAGACCAGGCTAAGGCTGGAGGGGTTGTATTCTGTTTTGCCTCTTGTAGTCCTGCAAGAGGCTGAAGAAGCACCCTGCCTGAGACAACAGACTACACACCTGGCAACAACTGCTTGGAACAACATGACCACATTTCTGAAATCAAGAAGTTAAACTACCAGTAGCCAAAAAGATTACAACACTGCACCTGCAAAAATCTCTGCCTTCCACTGTTCCAAGACCATCACTGTTCTCAGAGATCCCGGACAGCATTAGAGTTGGAATGTTAAAGTTCCACGAGTACAAAATTGTCTCCTTGAAAAGAGCAAAGTGACATTTGCCAGTTTTTCTGTGAAGTACACTCGCAGGGCGAGTCCCTGCAAAAGCAAGGGGATGGACAGTGCTAGTGCTGTATATGGAACCTCACAGTGTGAATTACTGTGGCTTGTGAATAAAGATTTCAGTTACAGTATTATTTTTCCTTTTGCCTCACAAATATTAAATCTCTGATTTCTTCAAACTAATCAGTAGGAGTAACTATTGCATGAAACATACCTCAGGTGGCAACAGGTGTCTCTCATAGACAAATACTAAAGCTCGAACAAAGATAATACCTTAAAAAGTTTAAATCCAAGAAGATGACCTCAGAGGCGATACGCAGAACTGGGACCAAACTCTATATCATTTAAACCCACTTAACAACACAGAGTCTTCCTCTTTACAAAACTGGACAGCAAGAGCTGCAGCTGCCCTGCAGGAACCCTGATTCTCTGGGGACAAAGTGACTGCCCTGCCAGGGGCAAAACAGTGTTAGCCCTGTAATACTGCCTGGACCTGAAGAGCAGGCCTCCATGAGCCACTCTCACTGCTGCAGCCCTCCCCACTATCAAAGAGCAAGAAACCATAACCTATTTTGCCTTAAAACCTTTCTTTTTGTGTTCTTCCTGGTGCACACCACTCAGCATACAAACTGAATGCAAAGCTCTACTATTGTCAATTGCTTGTAACCTGTCTCTTGTCAGCTGGTGTTTAACTCTTCCTCTTTCACTGATTGTGTTTTACTCCTTCCACTTGATTTCACAACATTCTACAAAAAACAGAATGAATTTTGAACTAATGGTAATTTGAACATCCCTTTCAGCATGTGTACTGGGGCATGTATCTGGCATATATTGCTCAAATTGATGAACTCTGTCGAACTGATTTACAGATCATTTCTAATGTGACTGCAAGAGATGGTACAGATTACAGGAGGTCCTCTGATGCCACCATACTTTGGTTATTTTATTAGTGATATAATAATAAAAGATCTTGTCATTCTAAAATAGAGCTCTTAGTTTTTCCATTAGTTGAGGGCTGCAGGATATATATGCTAAATGTTTAGTTACGGTATTGTTAAAAACATATCATTTTAAAATAGATTACACTGATCTACTTTTAGTATACAGCAGAAACATGGGGACTTGCCAGACTCTGTTGTGCTCCACGTGCTTGTTTCCTATCTGCAAGACTGTTCAATACCAAGTAGCTCAGATGAAGCATTAAGAATGTGAAGATGAGACATGGGCTAAACTGACACTAAATCTCCTACTTTCTAACAGAGTGAAGCTAAGGATTCTAAATATTCCTTATTCAGTTTCTGTTAATAATAACTCTGTGTTTTTGTTACCCTTACACACATCCAGGCTTTTAAACAAAACAAACCCCAAACTCACATTAGTCTCATCGACCTCCTGTGAAGTTTCAGCAAGTTCCCCCATCTAGCTACAAAAAGTATGAGAGAGTATCTTCTACAAGTAAGTCACACCTGCATATATAAAACTCCCTGCAAAAGGAGTTTGATGGAGCCAAGCAGACAGCAAGTTTTAAATAGGATTGATCACACAGATTTATACAGAATATAAATCCAGTCCAAAAAGCACAAGTTATCAGAGTGCAAAGGAAATGTAAATAATTTTTAAAGTGCTGCAATTTTAATTTACAAATTACTGATGTATTTTTCTATAAAAGCAGTTTTTGAACTACAGCATATCCTGCTACGTTTCAGCCTGAAGTAAAGTTTTATGGCCTACTTATAAACCAAACAGATTTATGAGAGAAAATGCTGTCAGACCTGAGATAAGTAGTACAAACTAGGCACTGCTGCCATTCTCTGGTTTACGCTGTCATCTTATACTCTTCACTGTAATTTGATCGATTCATGATCTTCAGCACGCATCATTTCACATATTAAAAACTGTTGCAAAACAGTGTTTGTTTACAGACATCAGCAATTTTAAGATCTATGTTACTGTAGTTCTGAACTCCTTGCATACCTTACGCTTTTATGCTCGGCTTCATCAGAGTAGCTATTTTTCATCTTGAAGAACCATAGCTCTTCTGCCATGATATGTGCAACTGAAATTGAGAATGGTAAAGAAAAGATCTCTGCAACTAAGAACAGAAAAATTCAACCATTGCCTCTGTTATTTTGGCACAGTGGTTGCAAGCTGCCCAGCTAACAAACAGCATCACGATACACTTTGAGAAAACCCTCCACCCAAATTGTGAAAACACCTCAGAAAGACAAGCTGTTTATTCCTGGGTAAGGACACTGAGCAAAGAGGAGGTTAAGAAACTTACTAAGACCAAGTTACAGCCTTAGAACTAGATTTTTGAGAGATTCAGGTCTGCTGACAGCTACTCCTGGCTCTACCCAGTAGAACACACAATGACAATTCCATGTATTGCATATACACACACACACGCACTTTAAATTGATACAATTCTGCAAGAGGTGCTTACCTGGGTCTTATCCTGCAGTACTTCTCAGGCAACTTCATAGGAAATTAAGTGATTTTTACCCAAAATAAGAAGGCAAGAATGCAATATTCTAAAAATAGTGGGAAAAACATTGGGGGATGGGGTGCAGGGAATCTAAAGAGTAAGGAATAAAAAGCGGTTTGCACTATCTAGCTGTGGTCCCCTGGTATATGAAGATCAAAACCAGGCTGGAGCTGACAGTGGAAAATGTGGCTCAATAGCATTGGCTGTCCTGCAGACATTTCAATATTCTACAAATTGATCACGTGCCACAAAAACTTTGAAAAATTCTGATAATCACCTCTAACTAATGAAAGTTAATTATTTTATTTGATGTGAGGAGATGCAATTTATAGTTCAATTAAAACATAGCTTAGGGATAAAAAAAACATAGTTATACAGTGAAATAGTAAGATAGCAAAGATAGCAAACAAGAAATTATAAGATAGCAAAACGTAGTGCAAGAGAGAATAAAGTACAGAAACCTTACAGGTATTAATACTTCACCTTTCCCGGTGCATCAGTTAATACTGTTCACTTTTAGTTTCTAGATGCCTACTGCAGAAGCACACCTTGCATATCACAAGTATTAAGATTTTATAAGGAGAAAGGAGGAGAAGAAAAAAAAATTAAGGTCAATCTCCTTTAAAAAAAATAGGAAATATGCAAGGGCAAGAGTCTAAAGTGGTGAGAAATTTCTTTGTACTGAAGCAGAAAAGTATAAAACTCAAATTATGTTTTGTAAAATGGCTCTGCTTATGGTAAGTACCATTAAAACTACTAGATTGTTAATGTTTTCTACACTGAAAATAACAACAAAACACAAAATGTCAAATGATACTCTTTGAGTACCATGTGGACAGAGTTTCAGTATCACAGTGGAAACGAAGATGGTGCCTTTATCACGCTGACTGTAGCACAGGCTCCACAGCAAATGCAGATGTGCAGAAAGAGATCATGAACCAGCATCTCCTTCCCTTCTGTGGCAGCCTCCCAGGGGTGCCAGCAAGAGAGCACCCGCTGTCACAGGACACAGGCCTGCCCTGCCAGCAGAAAAGGACTACGTCTGTCGTTGAATACCAGACCAAGCCAGAGAAACTACTCAGCAGGTGGTGAACACAAGGTGTCCTTGTTGACTGTGAGTACTTTGGAAGTTGTCAGGAAGACAGAAAACACGGGAAACAGCAGACAAGCAACCCCAACAACCCAGACAAACAGATGGAAAATTGTAACAACAGAATTAGCAGTCATGAAGAAGATACTTTGGCTAAGGTGTAATACAGCTTTTGTAAGAAAAGTCATGCCTAGCAAATCCAGAATTCTTCAAAGTTCTCTGAAGCAAGTGGAGAAGAAGATCCAGGTGATGAATCCACTTGGAATTCCACAACTGGTTTTGCAAGGTGTCCCTTAAAAGACTTCCAAAGAAGCTATCTTACCACAGGTTAAAAGAGAAGATCCTCACCTATGGAACTCATCTGAGCACAGGAAATAAGGCTAAGAGGATGCATCATCAGCCTAAGGCTACAAGTAGATTTCCACAGGAAAATGTCACAATATATTTTCTCTGTTTTTCTGTACTTATCCCTTGGCATCTACCATAGGTAACTCCTAGCCACTGGATACATGTGCTAGACTGTCTAAAAAAAGAGGTAAATAAAAAATAGAAAAAAAGGTATTGTACCCAATGAACATCAACTTGTACACTGGAGCCCAGTTACAGTCTTGCCATACTGACAATGTGCCAGGCAGCCACAAGAATCAACAGTAACTGCATTCTCATCTTACTGAAAGAGATGTCAAAGCATCTAGCTCAGATTGAGACCAAGACTGGACCCTTTTTAACAGCCAAGGAAAGTAATCTTAGTAGTTTGGTTTCTCAGAACAGGTTTATCTCCTTTAGGAGATGCCTAGCAATATTTAATCTGCCATAACCCAGACAACTGTTAAGATAACATCCGTAGCTTTTAGGACACTAGATACTTCTTGAAGTACAGGAAAGATAAAGGGAATAATGTATATTTAGCAATGTGTTTTATAACTTTGCTGACCTTACTTTGGTTATCAGATCAGTCAAAGCATATTACTTAGGTTCCAAACATACAGTATGATGTTAGTCTGTTAACAGTAAAAGGAAGGGAATTCTGAAGGGAATCATTTGGTGGGGATGAGTTTAAGGCAAGAATTTAGGTTAGGTTTTATGTTTTAGCAAAAAAGGCAAAAGTGAACAGATTTATAACCTCTGAGGATCTGCTTTCCCCCATTGCACCCTTGCTGTAACCAAGCTGTATGCGAAGCCTGAACTGAAAGAGGTTACAGGTATTCTGTGGGACTGTTCATTTGTGTTGGACAATACTGGAACATTTCCCAATATAGCAAAATTTTTTTTAATAATGGCTATACATCTGTAGATGAGCATTACATGAAACACTAAAAAGCTATTCCTTGTCACTCCACTGCAAATGATATCGCAGAGAAAGAGCAGATATACAGAAATGAGCAACAAAAGCAAGTGCAGAAAACCTGTACACACACATACACACACACACACACACACAAATCAAAGATAGGGACCTTGCCTTTTACCATTTAAAAAATACAAAAACTGTTATGCTCATTATTGTACAGAAGTGTTGAAGTGATGGCTGAGAAAAGGTTTTGTGGCACATGTGATCGATCTGTAGAATATTGAAACGAAACTTCTGCCGGACAGCCATTGTGACTGAGCCACGACTTTCTACTCTGTCAGCTCCAACCTGGCTTCGATCTTCCTAATCCAGGGGAATATAACTAGATGGTTGAGAAGACACTGCTATTTTCTGTAGTTCATAACTTTATGGATGATTAGTCTCTTGGGTGAAATATTTTATGCTCGTCCTCAGTCCAAATGTGAATTAGTCTGGAAGCATGGTAAGATTCCACCAGGTCACACACAGCTCTGACACAGACAGAGCTGGAAGATCTGCACACAGGGACACCAAGTTTGCTGCTGCCACCAATCACTGGCCCCATAATGTACCGTAGACAAAGGGTTGTCTTCTCTCCAAATGCCACAGACTCTGAAATACACCATTCCCACTTCATTAATTGCCTTCCACTTAATCTATTTTTATGAAGTCCATATAATCCTGAACTTGTAGAAGCTTTTCAGCTCGCAAGACAACATACTGGATCAAATCTATTTACCAGCAACTGGCAGCATCTCATTTCCCCATCTATATTGAAGGGATAATTGGCTCAGTTTTTCTAAGTCTTCAGCCCAGAAACTTCTTTTTATTCCTCCCCTCTAAGCATCCATCGGAGAAGAGAAAGAAGCAGCTCTCAAGCTTCAAAAAAACCTTGAATGACATGCTGTTGCTGTCAGGATTGCCAGGGCTGCAGACTTCACTTGTCTGTCTCAGTGGGACAAGTTAGTCCTCCAAAACTCTTTCTACAGGAATAAAGTACAACACCTCCCTGTCCTTATCACTTCGCAAATCCTCTCCATGCATGATAAATTCATGGCTGAATCTGGTCTTTGTTCCTTCACAAATCACTAATTTAGTACTATGTGCAACACAGCCCTGCTTTAGCATGTGATGGTGCCCACCTGAAGGCACATTAGGCCATGAGATCCATTCACTTCCAGTACGTTTCATGGATGTGGTACCAAAGAATGGACATCCCTTGACTGCTGAAACAAGAGATGGAAATGGGCTAAATTTGCAGACACTCAGCAACAGAATTAGAACCAGATTACATTTGCTTTTCTATAATCAGTAATGGAGACCAGCTTTTAGGGGGAAACAACTGGGGGGAAAAAAAAAAAAAAGTCCACTCTCTAGATGCACTATCACTAATGATATTTGTGAAGATACTTTTGAACAGTCTATGATCTTTGTTTATACTAAGATGACAGCATTTTCATGGTGAGAGTCACATAAATATAAAGAGATTCAGCTGGCATAGACCAATGAAACGCTGATTGTCTCATCACTGCTCAGTCTTCTTCACTGACTTCTGTAGGAATCTCACTTTTCAGTCTGTTACAGAAGCGTAGCTGAAAGGCATACAGTTGTGTAAACATTTAGGCATGGTCATACAGAACAGCGTTCTCAAATGTGTACTGCATTTCACAGTTCAGAAATCAAATGAAGTGCAGAAAAATGAAAGAATGTGTGAGTATAAACCCCTACACTTAACTTACCATTTCTTCAGTTCAGTAACAGTAATGCACTTCAATATGTGATCGTGAAAGAGAGCTGAAAAACTGAAATGAAACAACTTAAATTTTTATCATCCATGAGCATTCGAAACAGTGTCTATGAAACCCATTGTAAGACCTGTCAATGCAGTTACACAGTACAGACATGTACATACAGTATTTTGCAAGCATAGCATACTTGGTTCACAGACTTAATTATGTGGACTTAAAATGCTGACATTTTTCTGCTCTAGAAGTTTCTATGCAAAGAAACATCAAGAAACCGCCATCTGGCTTGTTTTCTGGGTTCCATTATAAAGATAATCTGTGCACAATGGAGGAAGCATCTATACTGCACAAGCAAACTGTTTGCCCTGTAAAACACAAATGGTTTGTGAGTGAGAATGAGCAGGCTGGTTCCCAGAGCTCAGATACCAAACTGAGTTTGAAGGGCTTTCAGGGAAAATTAAAAGATTACTAACTTCAAATAAATAAGCAAACAAACAAAACACATTTACAGACTTTTTTTTTTTTACATTCTTTGACATTTCTATACTTCCTTTCAGATTAAAACTATTCAAGGAATAAAAGTTAGCACAGTATAGAAAATACTGTCTTGTAAGTGTAGCACAGGCAACTTTATGGTGACACTGAGAACAATCTATTTCAACTCCTCACTTTGTGCATATAAAAATGTTAGAAATGCCTGAAGCATAGTTTGCTGCATTCCAGTCAAACTGTTGTTCTCTCTTCAAATTAATCACCTTCACAGGCACACTTACTGAGTACTTCTATTCATAAATTGCATTTTAATAACCCACCTAATTGCCTCCTCTTCCCCAAGCAGATAAGCTTTTAAAAAGACAGCATCTTTGGTATCTTATGCTACTTCCAAAATTCAGCTGAGTTCTGTAGATGTTTCTATCACTTCCTGCAAAAGGTGGCTGAAAGAGGGAAAGAGAAAAATTGAGTAAGGCCTCAGGAGTCTGAGTAAGTGTAACTGCGACTGAAGCAAGGCACAAAGCTCTATCAACTTCATTTTTGCCACCTTTTTAAAGTGTGATAACTTGCCCATAAAATAAATAATTAAAAACATTCATTACAATTGAAAAACAGTATCAAAGGCTGAATTAAAAAAAAAAATGAAAGCTAAGCAAATCCTGTAAGAAATTCTGTAGGATTCATTTCTATACTGTGTCTCTGCATTTCCCTGAAGTCTCTCTACCACAGATTGTAGATGAGTGTTGCACTACAAATAGCTGAGGGTGGGGCAGGGAAAGTTTTTCCAATATTAAGAAAAGTCACCATTGTATCAGATTTTGGATACAAAGTCATTGCTTACGAAGGGTGCTATCCTAAAAACCAACCCCAAAACCCAACACACTGAGGAGATCCAGAGATCCAGCACTAGAATGCTGCTCTGAGCTGTTCCATCTCCGAGGGAGGCACTTCCAGCAACCAGAGCTTTCATCTCAATTCACATTAAGTTGCATTGTTGGCAGGCAATACCTGCCCATCAGTTACACAAAAACTTCTCATCAGCAAACTTGGAAGAAATCTAGTATTATTTATCACAGGATATCTGTTTACCGAACTGTAAAGACAGTGGTGTAGGAATGCTTTTGTTTTAAATAGAGATTAATTCCTATTCCTGGTGCTTAGCGCATGCTACTAAAAACAATTCCCACTGTTCACAGAAAAAGCGCAACAATGAGTGTAACAGGCAAGTGTTTATCTTCTGATAAGGGATCATTCTGTACCTTTATCCTCTCCAAGCCTAGAAGATGTATGGAGAATAAAAAATAAGGTTTTAATGCTCAAGAGATGTACTACATTGCTGGTTTTATTGTTCTCAGCCCTTAAAAACAGCTGGAAGCCTCAATGGCTGCCTTCTCTGTAGCCCTCCCTCGCAGTGTATTCGTACAGCTCTGACAAGTTCACTATCCCTAACCCAAGGCTATGATTCCACAATCAATCTGAAAGAGAAGAAAAAAGGACAACAAAAATGTTTATGTGCTCAGATTTGTATGTTCTGTGCAATATGAAAATGCTCAATGACATTCTAAGAAAAATATATTAGCTCTGATATTATGTGTGAATACAGATAATTCCTAATAACTTTTAGAGATATGTATCTAGCACTTACATGATGTGTACATGGTGTAAGCTTTATTATGATTAAGCTAGAGGGCAGGTTCCAAAAGCAAGCTGCAAAAGCTTCTCCTTGCTGACAGACTTGTTTCTATACATGCACAAATTTGGTCTTCTCTTCACTAATATCAGTATATTATACAGATAAAACCCTTTCAACATACATTCATCAATGTATTATACAGACAAAACCCTTTTAGCATACATTCATCAGTAAATGTCCAAGAAGAACAAATCAATATGCCAAAACAGAATTTACAAAACCTAGGTGATAAAGCTCATTTTTCCAAGGGCTCAGAAACTAAGAATACAGTAGTACAATTTATAACATTTTTCATCCTGATGCCAGAGTCGATTTTCTTCTGTGTAAAAATCCAGTGCACTGAAAATGCTGAAAGCATCCAACTCCATATCATATAGAGTGAAAATACACCACCTATAAAGAGTTTTAATGGACACAGTGAAGTCACAGTTTCACCTTTTTTTGGTATTTTTTGAAGTAGAGTCAGTGAGGTCATTCCTAGACTCAAAACTGCCTAAGTTGAAAGGACTGATCTAAAGGTTGTACTTAACAGGGAAGAAAAAAGGAAAAGAAAAAAAAATCAATATATTCTAGAGTATTTTTATTTTTGTGAAGAAAGCTTTCAATATGTCATGCCAAAGTCTGTAAAGTAGCTTAAGTTTTTATTGATAAAATGACATCTTAAATAATGTTCTGCCCAATGTCTAGTTCTTTAGTGATAGGCTGACTACTTCTAAGATTTACTATGAAATACAGTGAAAAAAATAGCCCATTTACAATTCACAATCAACCTCAGAAATACTGTTCCTGTGTTTAGGTCCCTCTTTTTTAAGTTTAACCAGAAAGAAAAATTGCTCTGAAAAGCATTAAAATATGTTTAAACATGACAAAGTAAAACAAGAGTCTAACATTAAAAACATTTGTTAAGACTCTTCAGAGAAAGGGGCAGAAGAGATGACTTCAGAAGAACCTTCAAAAGTGAAATCTCAACACTTTTTCACTACAACCATAACACACATACAGAACGGGATGACACCAGTGAATCCAAAGTAGCAGTCATCCTGCTCAAATTCAGAAGATGTGTTTCATGTGCTTGATTCCATATGTTTTGAAGAAAACCATGATGATCAATGCCCAGAGTCCTAAAATAAATCCTCCAGGAGGATGCCAGTCCTTTTGTTTTGGTTTCTGAAAAAAAGAAAAACCAAACAAAGAGAAAAACAGAATTCATACTCAGTTTTCACATTAAACAGGCACTGTGTTTATCAAGGGGAAAAAAAAAAAAAAAATCCCTGCAGTAGAGAAAAATACCAATAAGCTGTATTTCTTCATAAAGTAGAAGCATCTTTCCTCTTGATGTGGTAGAAAGGCCGATGGGAGGTGAGCTGCCACTCAAGCAGGGAGGTTAAGTACCACAAGCATGCCACTAGAACTGTGCCTGAGACACCACTTTGATGGTGTGCACCAGCATTGTGGGACGTGTTCAAACTCATTGTTTGTACAGAATTTCTCATATCTGGTCTCATGTCAATACAAGAGAAAAATGCTGTGAGTATGAAAAACAATTCCTACAAGTGAAAATGTGAAAAAGAAAAGATGGTGTTGCTTTTCCAGTACCTAGAATGTTTTCTACAGGTCCTTTTGTACTCAGAATTATGTGAATAAACAGATATCTAACCACATAAAAAGATAAGATTCATTATTACAGGAATATCATAAACCAAAATAGGATTGTTTTTAATGTCAATCACATTTCCCAAGGGCCTCATTGAGTCTAACTGCCTTTCTTTAATGTAGGAATATATTCTGCAATTCAAATACTTGTCCCTTCAACAACTTTTTCATCTTCAGTAAAAAGCAATACACTGCCATTTGTTTAGGCCTTTTCTATCTCACACTTAGCAGTAAGACAAGATAAAACTTGTCTGTCCTCTTCCTCCTCTTATTTAAAAAAAATGTAGTTACTCCATATTCAGTGAGAAATAGATTGTAGAAGAGCTGCTATGTGCCCCAAGATCTGTCTCGGGCTAAGAATAAGGTGAAGCTATATGAATGCAAAATTTTAGTTAAGACTATCATAACAAAAATATCAGAATTACAGTATTTAGAAGCATAACTCAGTCCCTTGTGCCTGTGCTTACTCTTGCCCTCAGCAGGTATGTTTTACAGATCTTCTAGGAAGAGAGATGATTTACTATTACAATAATAAATACTGAAGTGCTTGCTGAGCTTTTTATTCCTGCCTTGGTGAAAGACTTGCACTATTTTGTCCCTGTATAGAATGAGACACAAGGGGCCCAGAGTATTTTGGTTTTGTTGCATCTAAGTCAAATTTAAAATTTTCTTCCTGCCATGTGAGTAACTATTACAAAAGATGGTACTGTTTCAATTTCTGCATTAATCTGTGTATGGAAGCTGGTCGTTCTCCACTAGATGTACCAGGTGGCTGGTGAACTTTAATGCAATAAGGAACAGTTTGCAGCGTCTGTTATTTCAAAACAGCTTTCCTATCAACAGGAAAACAATGTTTGTTGATTGCTCAGCTCCCATTTTCTAAGCTACATAGTTTTAGCTTTAGGATTTTTCTTTAAGTACCATGTTTGTAATTAAAACTATAACAAATAGTTTTGTCACTTGAGACACCTGAAGAACCTGGCATTCTGAAATATTAATGATTTTACTCTGATACAGGAATCACAGAACCAGCATTATAATTTACATTAACAACAACAAAACCAAAGATATGAGCAGAGCTGGTGTCTATATATGCAAACCACCCAATTTCCTAAGAAGCACTCAGCAGCTGCAGTGTACTTGCTGTTGGTAATCTGCCACCTCGCTGATATTCACAACCACACATCTCCATATAAACATCTCAGAAAATCAAGTCTGCATGTTCAAAAAGGCTGCCAGCACACCTCGCTTCTGAAAGTAACAGCTCATGACACTTCTCCACACAAAGGAACTTTCTTGTTTAAATCCTCCTAATTAACCCGTAACTTCGTATGCATATTGCAGTGCCTGTTTCATCAATCTCTTTGTACTATCAATCTTTCCCTTCTTGGATCTCAGACAAATTCCTTACCACAAAGTGGCACCTGACCCTTCTAGACAAATGACTTCAATTTGCAGACAGTGAGACTAAAAGCCTCTCTCTCCTATTTTGTAGAGAACACGTAATTTAATTTCTTTAAAGAATTTATATGAATAAATATTTATAAGGTGATCTATGAGTATGGTTTTACATTTTGTCATGCCATGTACTGAAGCCTCAATGGAATTCCACAAGGAAAAGGAGACCAGAGCAGCTGTGGCTCCACGCTGGGAAATCAAGGACATACATACAGTAGGTTTAAAGCCATGGGATGCAACATGAAAATTTGTTAAAATGTGAAATATTAAAACCATGAAAAAATACATATGAAGCCATACAAGAGCTACATACTTAGTAAACTTAAAACTAAATTATCTTGATGGGAAAGATTTACAAACCCAGAAACTGAAATCTACACATAAATATTAAGCCACAATAAAAGGGCAAAGAGATGCAACTCTGTTGTACATCTGTAAGTCAATACTGAGGTTAATTGAGCACAAAATTATACTGAAATATGCCAGTATTTTCCACTAGGGGCATACAGACATCAAAACCTTATGAATACCTAAAACTGGATTATACAGATTCATGTTTAAACCTACAAAGTATATCTGGAAGAGCTGAAATATGTAATTTTCTTTAAATTAACTTGATCATAGATTCCCAAGAAAGTTCACTACTGAATTAAAAATGTAATTAGCTGTCTAACTGAGAATTTCATCCTTCTAAAATCATAACAAATACAATATAGAAAACTTCAGTAACAAATCTTTGTCCAGCTGGGCACATCAGCTAAGCAGCAAATAGCACTGAAGTTCCTTTACAAAAAGCTTCATTTTGCGCCTGTGAATCACACCCATTTACACATAAGATGGAGTCTGTTTCCATAAATTATGTCAGCAAATTGTACTTGTAACATAGGCTGGCAGAGAGCTTTCAGCCGGCACCATTGTAACTGCAAACCCAGCAATTCTTTGCTCTTGGCACAGCTGTGTCGCTGCCAAAAGCGCTGCCAGTGTACCTATGCCAGCGAGGAAGCGCGGATCGCTCCGAGCTGTCAGAGCTACGCCAGCAGCGCTGTGTAATGAAGTCGGAGGCCAAGGCAGAATGTCCTTCTAAACACATACGTTCCTCTCAGCTGTACTGCTGCAGAAGCTGCTTTGACTATTTTGTGCAGGCAGGCGGAAAGAGTCACATAGATCTCTCCTAATGGGAAAAACTATTAAAGTAAGCAAGAATCACTTTAACAGCAGATGAAAAAGTTTTCTTTTTAGACCTACATACTAGAAAAAGATTTAGAGAAGACAGAATTTCTTTCTATGCTTATACAGTGGCTATAAGCAATCCCTAGATAAACTATCCCTTTATATCAATTTTAGGACTGATCAGAAAGCATTAGTGAATCTAAAGTTTTCACAGAGTTCTAAAAAAAAAAAAAAAAAAAAATCAGTATTTTTCATGTGAACATTGCCTAGTTCAGAGTCTTATTCCAGCAAATTTCTGTGAAAGTCGGGCACATTTTCTCACTTGCAAGAAAATGCAACATGGACAAAAAAAATGTTGTGTTGCAGTCTTTTAATTTGCAATTAATTATGTATCTTCATTATGCCTAAATTGATGTGAGAATGTGTACTATTAAAAGACTATAGATTGGTTGCAGTAATTACAAATGATGCATAACTTTCTCATATTTGGGACTGATATGGAGGAGCAGAGATAACAGCTCTTTTGGCTCAAGTTATTCTGAATTTCACTGTTGTAGCAGACCCACCTAAGAACTCAGCATACCAAGTCCTACTTATGTAACTGACATACTAGGTTTTGTGATCTACACCACAATACAACCCCATTATAAACGCCCTCTTTATCTCTACAACAGCAGCAGTAACACATTGGTGAAATGCACGTATAAAATGGTACAGTGTGTCATGAACAAATACATTTAGCAGCTTAAGGGCTAGTCATTATCGAATTGCTGGAGATTCCAAATTAAAAAGATAGGTAGCTAAGCAACAGCAAGCTTCCTCCTGTGAACAGTTTTCTGTTGTATGCTCTCCAGTTCTGGTAGACTCATTATCCTGTGGAACTTAAAAACAGTTAACAGAGTTGCTCCAAGTACTGTAATTAAGAAGAGGATAAAACAGTGTATTTTCAGACTGGATGGGTCTGTAGGGACCCAAATGGAAAGTATCCAAGACTTTCAACGAAGGTGTTTCATAACACATGCAATACTTGTTACTGCAATTAAAATTAGTTTTATGCTAAAAATAATAAAAAAGTATTAAAGCTGAAATGATAATTAAGATTAAGAATGGTTTAATTTTTAAATGTTACATCAGAACAGGAATAAGATTTAAACCATCATGTATTAACATTTCACATAGAAAGCTCTGTGTTAAATATCATTGTAATCCAACTCTACAGTCTTCTAACAGAACTCTTTGCATTAGTGTCCTCAATAAGGACATTCATACAGAAAGCTTTGGGTTAAACCCAGAATCCAGGTGATAGAGTCAGTGCATACAGCCAGGAATAGAGTAATTCCCAAGTGGAAAACCAATACACAAATTCTTCAGTCTCCTCTTATTCCAAACAGAGCTTTAAAAGAGTGGGCAAAACCTTAAAAATGAATGTGCACATCACCCTTGTTATGGGGGATGTTCTTCCCAACCTAAGGCAGATAGTGTCTGTTTGTACCAGGAGTGCAAAATATCCATATGTAACTGCACAAAAATAAAACATTCTAAATGCTGTGTTCCAACAAGTCCATTAAAGTGGCAGCTATCATATTTCAAATTAATCCCTGCTTAATTCTCTCTGGAGTTTCAGTGCAGAGCACCATGTACCCAGTTTTGTCCTATTTATTACACATGTGGTATAAAATATCACCCCGGGTTCTGGGGCTGCCTGGCAGACAGCAGCAGTGACGGCACTGGGGGGAAATCCTGTGCATGTCCCTCTGTGGAGTTCTCCACCTCTACTAATCTTGGGGTGAGCAAACACTCGCAGGGAAGTGAAGTACGCTCGCTGCCTGTCTGTGTGGTACTTGCCATCATTACTAGATCACTGAGGTGAATTTGGTGTATTTTGG